GAGGAGAGGGGCTCGTCCGCCTCAGCCCCGCGCTCCGAAGTTGTCCTGTAAAGCCGCGTTGTTGTCCCTGCACCCAACCATTTCCCGAACTACCCTTCAGGTCTCTTCGTTTTAACTTCGTAATGCGTGTTCTCAATCCCAAAGGTGTTTTAAAAGCTACAAAGTAGCGTTTTTGCTGGGTTTTGGGGGAGCCAGAGGTGGTTTTTCCCTACATACCTCAAGCTCAGAGCACGCTTCCCAGTACTGCGACTCAAAACATCTCTAAGCTTCACGCTCTTGTGACAGATTCGGGTTTTAAACAAAACAACGCCCTTTACGCATGTATGAGACTATGTAAGTATCTCTAATATTTAAATATTTATATATTGACATGTGGCTAAGCGGCAATACTGCAGAATGATCCGGAAGGAAGCACAACATTTTCGTCTCAACTTGCGCTAAACCAAACCCACCAAGGATCTAGTCTATTTTGAGCAGTGTGGTGGAAGATTTCAGGCTTAAAAATTCCACTCTGCGCTTCCACTCGGTTGGTTAGAATGTGAGCTTTTGCGTTCTTCGAAACTGGAGATTCATATTGCCTGAATCTATGCGGACCTCAACTTTAGCAAAGAGGAAATTATGACTCTTATCTGGATGCATATTTCATTAATATTCTGTATTTTTCTATTAATGGCTATTAACTGGTGTCCGTGGTTTTACAGATGACATGAAATCATTGCAACAGAACTATTTCTAAATTAAAGCTTGATTTACCATCTCTTTTTTTAAAAATGAGAAGATTCATTTTCCCCTTTAATGTGGAGTAGGTAACTTTTTTTCTAGATCTACAAGTAAAACAGGAGGACAGTGAAACTGCTGATGAAAGTGTGACAGTAATCAACTATAAAAAGAAATACCATGCTTTCAGTCCTTGTGATTTTAAACATATCTTCAAGATGGCTTATTGCACAACAGATGAAATATTTCTGGAAAGGTGAAATTAGGTAAAGTTTCAAAAGTCAGTTCAGTTTGAGAAATCATGAAAGCAGTGCTCTGTGGTATAGAAAACAAATTTTCACAAAGTCTTATGAAAGTATTATGAGACTTTACATAAGTTCACATAACTAGAAAACATAGTAAGTGCTGAAGGAAACATTTTTGGGGGTGTATTTGTGTAACTAAAGGGCAAGAGATTATATTTGAAGATACTTAAAAGTAACTAGTCCTTTTTGGTTTTGGTTTTTTTCCTAGCTCTCTCTTTTGTTTCTGCTTTTTAAAAACACACGATGTCTGAAGTTAAGCAGAGAAAAAAAGGTATTTCTTCATCCAAGACCAATGACGGCTCACAAAAGGTTGAGAAGCACAGTAATTGTGGGAAGCTGGCAAGTCCCAGGACCAGCAATAATCGGAGTTCCTTTGGGATGGATTCACGGACAAGCTTGAGCATAATTTCCCTTGCTTTTTGCCTGGTGCTGACCTGGTAGGTAACCCTTTAAAGTGGATTTTAATATTTTCTTTTGTATTGCATACTGTATTCAGCCACAGGCAATATGATTAGTTACATTTGAATATAGTGTTTGGGTTAAGTGACCGTAGAAACTTTTTAAATCTAGAACAATCAAGGAGAGAATAGCAGTATTCACAAGCGTGGGAACATTGGTATGCAGTGAGGGATTATAGAAGCTTGATCTGTTCTATCATGTTGAAAGTTTAAAAGGTGTGTTCCTCACGAATTGCAAATACCTGCTTTGGAGACTACATCTAACTGTGAAGAGCAACTTAATCTCACAATAAGTACAACAAGGCTCATTTGGCTGGTAATAAATAATTCAACAGTAGAAGTGGAGTTTTCTGTAAATAACTTGCTCAGCAGCATGGTAAATTGTTCATCAGGTGGAGTCTTCAAGTAGAGGCCAAATATCTTTGTAAAAGATGTTTTGGAGTATCTTGGCAGCATCAGTACCTTAGTTCCATCAGAAACTGAGCTTCATGCAGAAATGAGATGATGAAATTGTCAGAACTCTAGTGCAAGAAATTAGTCCAAAATCTTATAGTCTAGACATCAATCTGAAAATTAAGGTAAAATTTGTTCTTAATTAACATCACCCAGATTTTATTATCTAAATCTTTGAGAAACAGAACGACATAGTCGAATAAAATTAGTGATGCTTCTGCTTACTGTTTTGTGTATATCTGTTTAAGTCTGGTTTGCATTTATCTATCATCTATCTATAGCTAGCATTTCAGCTTTTATTGCCTAACTTAATCTGTATGGAATATTGCAGATCTTTTGAAACTTCTTATTGCTATTCAATATATTAATAAATATCAATTTATGAAAGCACAAGTGTTTTAAATAAACTATTTTTCTAGATAAACAGATTGCTGTGAATCAGGTCCTGGAACACCTAATATATGCTAATTATCTAGTTGTGTTTACTGTTTATTTACTTGCAATTTGCAGGTTCCTATTTCAGCAGTCAGGTCAATTTGCTGATATGGAAAAAAAGTACAATTTCTTACAGCAAGAAGCTGAAAAATTCCTGGATGTGGAAAATAAAGTTAACTTAATTTCTGAAAAGGTAATCATCAACATCTTAATTGGATAATCTCTGGTGAACATTTGCTGTTGTTTTACTTTGTTGTCATTTAGTTAAATTTAATTGACTGTTTTAAAATACATTTTCATAATGTGTTGTACTGTCTCTGAATAGGCCTTTGGGGAATATTTCATGTGACTAAACATGTCAATCCACACCATTGTTCAAGTATGTGAATATAGCGGTTGTATCTCAGTATTATTTTTTAGACACTAAACTATTTTTAAAAAGTACATTTGTGCACATACTTCATTCTACCAGTACTGTTCTGTGTATAATTCTAATAGACACTGATTTGAAGAAAATTTACAGGCATTTTTATGTAGTAGACCTGTTCGAATAATATGAAGACATAATGCAGTGATAGTAATATTTTTTCATTGCTATTTTATTTTCTTATCTGCGTGTGACATTATCAAGCAGAAAACTTGGGCTGGCTGCTGAATTATCCCTTCTATCTTACAGATGGTGATGGGGGTACAGCATGGCTTAGGCAGTGATGTTGTTTTAGCACTGATCTCATAATGATGTCATTTATACATGATGTAATTAGGGTATTTATATACTACAGTCCAGATTGCAAAATGTTGCATGGGATTTACATAGTGTGATACATTTTAAAAAAAAAAAAAAAAAAACCAAAACCAACAAACCACCATGGAAAATGAGGGATTGACAATAAAGAAAATGGCATGCGTTCTATAGAAATTCAACAACAAACATACCCTTTTCTGTGACTTCTTCATGCTAGGTTAATCAACAATATTTTAAAGATGAAATGTGAAAACAAATCATATAGGAGCTTTGTAACAAGTGAAGTGGCTTCTAAGGGACTTTATTCTCTGTTAAATAAAAGCAAATGGTTTTCTAGTTTTACTTCCATTAAGCAGACATGGACATTGTTTTGTGTTATAAATGCAGCTTGAGTCTTCTGAAAGTATCCTACGAGAAGCTGCCTCATCCATCTCTGTGATGACTGAGTTTGAACAGGAAATACCTTCTCTTCATAACATCATAAATGATATTCAGAACAATGAACAGACTCTCTCTATAAAGATGCAGAATATTAATGAGAAGTTCCAAAATGTTACAAATTCCTGGAGAAGAAGCTTGGATGAAATGAACACAAACACTGGTGGTTTAAAATCTGAGGCAAAGTTTGTACATGCAGAAGTTACTTCCCAAATTAATGAAGTTGAACAAAGAATTAAATCCCTTTCAGAAAGAGTAAGAGATTTGGAAGACAGTACAGCCAGAAATATTAAAACATTAAAAAGGCAAGAAGATGATGAATTCTCTGGAGTTGAACAAAAGTTGGACTTGCATGCAAAGGCAGTTGAAAAACTAGAAGAAGAACAGAATAGTCTGGTAGCCAAGGACACAGACATGAATCAGAAACTTGCAAACTATGAACCTAAAATTGAGGAGTGCAAGACCCGTTTGCCAACAATTGAAAACGCTATTCACTCTATTCTTAGATTATCAAGTGAATTGCTAAGTATGGAGAAAAAGATAGAGGACTTGACAACACAGCTATATACTGTGGAAAAGGATATGTTGAAAACTGTTTCTGATACAATGGCAATGCAAAAGGTTCTTGAAGGCTTACAGTACAATGACAGCATATTGAAAGTACACAATGAAGTAGTGGTTTTAAAAGAAGTACTGCATGACATAAAAGTACCTTCAAAAGCAAAAGAAATCACTTTAGAAAGCTATAACTTTGAAATTGACCAGAATGGGGATAACTAAATTTGGACTTGGGGCTTTCACTGATGAAAGAGCACTTTAATTTATTATACATAATGTGACTCCAACATAAGTTAAGGATAGCTGAAATATTCTCATTAATTTAAATAGACATTGGATCAGACTGAAAGGCAAACTTATAATAAAGAGGTTAGAGAGCAAGAAGTACTGTGTAAGGAGGAAAGGAATACTTTCTTAAATTAAGGATTATTTTCAGCTTATTTATTAAAAGTTCATTTTTTTATTAAAAAGGAATTTGAAGCAAAGTATTTAGATTTAAAAAAAAAAGTCAAAACCAGAGACATCAGATGACAATTTATATTTAGTTTTCACTACTTATTTTTTTTATATTGTTACTCATCGTATTATATTCCATGGACTTGTAACACAATGAAGTTCTTATCTCTAGGCAGATATACATGTACCTCGCTTTTAATGTATTATATACCATAATGTTTTTGTGCTTGCAGTACAGGCTTCTCAATGTCAGAGGTAGTACTGGGATCTATGTATTTTATTATGTGCAAGAAAGCACCAAGTACATTTTAACAGCTGAAGCTGAGATACAACAACATTACAGAAAACGCTAGTGAAGTACCCCTTACTGAGAGCCTTCTCTTGTGCTGGTATTTATAAGCGGGGGCTTACATAGCAGCTGGTGTTATCTTTTATTTTTTTGACCCCATGCAAATAGCCCCCTTAGACCTCATTTCCAGCCTTCTCAAACTTCCTAAAATCATGGGTGTAGTTTTGTTCTGCCATTGAAATTGCTGGACTACCTGTAGACTGAAGTTCTTATTAACAGATATTCCCGCTAGATTCTTCTTCTATCATTTAATTTGCAAGTTTGGTGTGATCAGTCACTGTATTAGTCTGGGGTTTGGGTTTTTTTGGTTTTATTTGTTTTGGTGCTGTTAGAAACAAGTTTTAACCTTTTCTTCTATAGAATGTTCTCTGCTAGGCATTACATGACAGGTCTGGTATTGCTTTGCATTTCAAAGGGGAAAAAAAACCCAACTTTATAGTGTCATGGACATTGTTTCCAAAAGTTTGGTGAACCAAGAGCTGCAAAAGCAATTAATGACAGCGATGGAGTTATGTACTTGAGGGCAGGGAATATCTAATTTATCCTGAGATCTAATAGATCTGTTTACACAGGATGTAGTCCTACCTAATAGGCCTGATTGCTGTTCATTGAAATTTGGATCTCGGGACCACCATAAATTTGTGTCTACAGACTTAACATCTTGATAATTTCTTATTTCTGAACTCAGGAAAGCAGATTTTTTAGTAGGCAGTATGAACCCACAACATTTATGACTTAATCAGGCTTGAGTTATATTATCCTGGTTTTGTACATTCACTTACCTAGAACTCTGCTGAAGTCTTCACTAAACAGTTAATGCTTGCCCAGTCAAGAGACTTTTAAACCAGCATTTCTCAATGTTATGAAGTCTATCAGTTTCATATGTTTATTATGTATAGATTTCTGTTTATTAATATTCAATAAAAATATGATGTAATGGATTGTCCTGGTACATAATCTATTTCAAAATAAATTGCTCTTCCAGAAAGGGTACAGAATAAATACTTCAGTGTTCCATTAAGAAATACTATTCTGTACAGAAGTGGTTTTTAAATACCTTTCAGAAGTGTGTTCCAGGGTGTTTCTACTTCATATATTTTTGGGGAAGGGTGGCTAAATTACCAGTGGTATGCTCCCTAATTTAATGTCTTTCATCAACCTCAACCCTATTGAAAGCCAAATGTACATGAGATCTAACAGGAAATTCTCATCCTTAGAAGGCATTAACCAGGAAACCACCACAACTCCCCACAACCTAAATTTTGGTATTTTGTTTTTAAGCAAACAGTTCTGTGCTAGCAAGGACTGACCAACGCTATCAAAAAGTTAAAAATACTTGTTTCTTTGGTGATATTTTTACTACTAGTGTCAAGAAAAGGATTAGTATGAAACTAATTATAGCCTCTTAGAATGTGTTTTACCTGCCCATTTGGTGTTTTTTTTTCTCTCCACGTTCTACACTGACTTATTTGGGATTGAACAGGATAGCATCACTCAGGTATTTTCCTTTCTTCCTCTCAAATTTGAAAACCAAGAACCAATTGTTAAAAAAACAGAAAAAGTGAACTAGCAAATTCAGCCAAAAATCCAACAGTAGCTTGAGTGCTTCCTCAGTAATGCAGCTTTTATGGAGGTAGGCTGTTTAAATAGCCACCAAAATACTTCACAGGAAAAACATTAAACAAAAGGGAAGCATGCCTAATTCCTTTGGCTTTTTCTTTTGTGAACAACACGTTCAAAATACATATTATGATTACCAAAATAAAATGGTCCATGATTTTTGGATAAGAGAATTTTAAAGTAGGCATCTTTCTAAAACATTTCTGAATATCTTTCTACATGTGTGTTTCTTGCTCACACAAATTATAGGCTTCATACAAAAATTTCTGTAAATCAGAAGAAGATTGCATTTGATTACTTGTGTTTTCAGAGGTCATGCTGGAAAGTTGTATAGCACCTTCCTGTAATTTTTGTTGTAATAGAAAAAGTAGTAACACTGGAATTTGTTACATATACTGAAAAGAAAAAAAAGTTCGTTTTCGTGTGTGTTGCAACAGAAGTTTACTTCCTAAAGACAGGATTTGCACTCAATTTTAATATCAGAATAGTGAGATATTTCATTAGACTATAGCTTTAGTTTTGATGCAAGTTGTTAAGCTAGAAATCTTGTCAAATATTTTTCTTTGTATCCCTGTAGTGTGAAAAGACGTGGAACTTAATGGACCATCTGGAAGACCTTCAAATAATTTCTCACATTAAACATCTGCAGGAAGATATTTATACAATGAAAACACAGTCTAGCAGCATAATTAAAAAACAAGAAGAATTGCAGAAGAATTTAACAACTCTTTCTCATGCACTGTCAAGTGCTGAACAGAATGCAGCTTCTGTAGCAAAAAACATAACTTTGATGATTGTGACAGTAAAAACTGACATAAGGCGCATTTCAGGCCTAGTCTCAGATATGACTGCATTGACAGATTCTTTGCAAACACTAGAAGATAAAGTAGAAAAAGGTGAAAAGAAGACAGTAAAAAATATAGGTGACCTGCTTACCAGTAGTATTGAACGAAGTACAAAACTACAGAGCTTGGCATCCAGTAATGCAAGGAAAATTGAGGAAATTAAGACAGCATTATCTGAGTTAAGGAGTGATTTTAACAAGCATTCGGATAGACTTTTGAATCTTGAAGGTGACAGAGCAAAAGTTCTGAAGACGGTAACATTTGCAAATGATTTAAAACCCAAGATGTACAAGCTTAAAAAGGATTTTGCCATCTTGGAGCCATTAATAAATGACCTAACACTGAGAATAGGAAGATTAGTGGAGGATGTATTACGACGGGAGAAGGAAATTGCTTTACTGAATGAGAAATTGGCCAATCTAACAAGAGTTCAAACTGAGATCAAAGATACGAAAGATGAAATTACCAAGATTTCAGACATGAATTGATCGCTGTGAAATGCCACTGCCTAAAGAACAGTAGTGTTTGAGGAGTGTTAACTCCATCAGGTGTAGTACTGAGAAGAAAGACAGTATTTAAAGGCTTCATTTAGAAGCACACCAAAACTTAACTAGAGATTTGTCCTCTTCCTTTGAAAAGGACAGAAAAAAAAGTCACACTGATTTCAAGGGACAAACTATAAAGTGAATAAAAACCACGTCTCTGTGCATGTATTTGTCTTTCTGAAGGATGACAGGTGCTATATTTAATAAATTGCTTGTTTTGTACAATAAAACAGCGTTAAAGCATAAAATGTTGTTCTTGCCTTTAGTTTGCTTTCATGAAGAAAGCAGGACCTAAGACTGACAGAGCTTCAGCTTTCCTTTCCTGCTCCAATGGAAGGAATAAAATTGTGGTTTCCAGATGGAGTTAAACAAGAGTTAGTCAAACTGCAGTACCGATTTAATATTTATCTCAATATATTCACTCTATGATTTTTGTAAAGTGTAGCACTTTCCCTTTTCTTTTAAATAAACAATCTTTAAAGAGGCAAATGCAGTGAAGCAAGCATTGCCCAGAAATATTGCTGATGCCTTGCAAAAAGTCTGTCACACACTTAGATGGAATAATTTGTTTAAGTTTTTGTGTGAGGCTTTGTAATTGTAAATCACAATTACTGTGCAGCATTGTTAACTCTTTAAAACACAGAACTCTATTTGGGGACAGTGCTTTGAAAGACCTACTAACCCCCCGATGGCTTTCTCCCAGTGTCACAGTATGTGTTCAGGAATCCTAACAGTGTTACTCATTCTTTGTTTCTCAGCCTGTAAAATACTACAGGGAGCAGCAGAATTGGCAAAGAGAAGCTACTCGGGTCCCGAAAGGTTAGACTGATAAGAGCCACTGGCAGTATTTCTGTGGTGAAGAGCAAGAGTTTAAGAGATCTGAGACATTGGAAAATGCAGTAGACTGAAGTAACAAGATAATGGAAATGGGTTTAGCAGAGGAAAGGGGGAAAAGTGCATTAAATAGGAATAAAAATTACCCTAAAAAGCAATTAGGAGAGATACAGCAATTCAGAAAATCTCTATAAATGAAATTACATCGAGAAGTATAAGCATACAGTAAGGCCTTTATAACTTCTCAATTGTTTCATTGGTCATACCTGAACACCTCGCAGCTACCAGACTCTTGATTGTACGGAAGAGAGAACCATTCCTCTGCCTCACTGTTCTCCTCCTCATTCCGCATTCCATCTCTTTCCATGTTGCTGGTCTTCCGTACCTTCCTTGCTTCGTTGTCCTCAGTCAACCTTAAATGCTTTGTTTCATCAAGTTTTCCTCCTTCTGGTATAGGTCCATTCCTACCTCCCAATTTTCTTTTACCCCTTTCCAGTCCACCTGACAGACCGCAAGGATAAACCTGTCAAAAGACAAGTTTTCCTAGAAAGCACCCACAGATACTATTTACCAACCAGCATCCCTTTGCTCTTTCATGTAATTCTTAAGCAAGCCCCTGGAAATAACCAAGTGGCATTTGAAGGAGACAGAAAATTAAAGAACATCCAGAATGATCAGCCATGCTAAAGCATGCTTTGTGTATCAAACCTGAAAAAAAAATAAATATATATATATATACACACACACACACGCACATACAAACACCATAAGGGTTTGGGGTTTACATAATAATTATATCTCATTTGTACATTAAAGCCTGATATTCACTGAATCCACCAACCCTGGGGTTTTTTGTGTGTGTACAAGCTCACGTTAGTCCTGTCAAGGAGAGCACTTGGCACAACAGACATGTCTACCAGAAGAACATTGATACAGCGGTGTGAGGAATCTATCCTGAGTGTCTTTCACTATGGCCCATACGATGCAGTTAACAGTTACCAGTAGATTAACTGCACCACGGGCTATAGTAATTTTATTTATTCTGTTTTCAACTTCATGAATAAATCATTTGTGGTCAGTAGCCAGTAAAAATCTGGGGAGGCGGAACTGGAGAACCAGAAGAGCTCTATCTACGTGAGTGAAAAGAAATGGAAAACATGCTCCAGCTGCGCAGTTAATCAGAGAAGTCTTAACAGCAAAGAAGTCTTTCTGGATGAAAAGAGCACACTCTCTCTTTGGAACAGTAACAGAAAATAAGCCAGGGTAAACAACTGTCGGTTTCACTTTCAACCCCCAAATGAATAACCTCCAAATCTTACAACACATCTACCTATGAAAAGCCAAGTATACAGTCCTGTTCATGGTCTCTGTGGGAAGTTAAGTATGCAAAAAATCTTACAGAACCATTAATTTCACTTTATCTCTAGATGTATGCAGACCACCTGCCCTTCCTTCCCAGGAAGTGCAGGTCCAAAGCATTATGATCCTTTCAGAAACTTTGTTGCTACAAGCAAGAGAGAAAAAGTTTAAGTCACAGAGGTAAAGTTTACTGGAAAAAAAAAATATCTGGATCTTAAGTTTACGCACCCACTGTACTGTCCTCAGAAGTAAGGCGAGTCGTCAGTGATTCCCCCATAACCTGCACAGGTATTACGAATCTTCATTTGCCCTTCAAGCACACACCTCCACTGTACTAAAAAATTAAATGAAAGTTTGAGAATAGCTTTGTAATTACACCAGTCTAAGGTCAGAGGCAAAGCTCTTTCTATAGTGGAAAAGATGAGGCAGAGGGTGAGGTATTTTTCCATAAATTTGAAGCAGACTACTAACCTCGCCTCCTTGGTCCAGTACTGTCAGTGTCGGTGAAGGTATCAGCTCAGTAAACTACAACACCTTATTTAGTTCATTTCTAGGGGCACTCAACAATGCTCTCTGCAATTTTATTCAGTGATTGAGAGATTCGGGTAATAAAGAAAATCACAGCTATGCTACTTAAAACATATCATCCCATGCAGCCCAACCTGCAGTAATCCTCACGACATCTTTGCTTTTAACTTAGTATGCAAGTACAGAACTGGCTAATTATATTCTAGTTAGCAACTCACAGGGGAAAAACAAACAAATGAACCAGCAACAGCATTAAGTGATTAATGCTGAAAAGTGACATGAGCAAAGTAATCCCAACACATTAAAATCTACTTTTAGACCCCAGAACATCAGCTCAGGGAAGAAGTTTCTGCAAGCGATATCCTCCTCCCACATCACTCGGAGTTACAAAAATTGTATTCTGTAACAAGGCCACGTAGCTACTAAGCTCAGCTATCCAAAGTACTCATATTTGCTACAAAAAAGCAGGATGTTTATTGTTTTCACTGTGAACTACATCATTTCTATGTAGAAATGTAAATTAATTACAACTATTTGTATTATTACAGCCCATTTTAAAATGATATGCAACAAACATTTCAGCAAGTATCAGCACATTTGATCTGTAGTACAACCTGATACACAGGGTGTGAATGGAGTTGTTATTCCAAATTTATATAGACAGTATGCTTTAAACCAGAACGCAGATCTCAGCTCCAGTAATAGCAAGAAAGGAAGTTCTCTCCTTCATAAAACAATACACACAAGCAGCATATACATAATCCATGTTTTACAAAGCACTTTGGGGTTTAGTGACTGGTCTAGAGTTAGGACCTAAGTTGAAAACCATGTGCTCCTTTTCGGTACAGGACTTTCCTTGCAATGAAAGCACAAGTCCATCAAAAGCACCACTGCCCCCCTGCCCCACCTTCTCGACTTCTGGAAAATGTA